GTCTATTGTGCAAAGATGTTCTTGTGGCTATTCAGTGAGAAAAGGCTCCAGAATAGAACGGTAAAACACTTACATACAATTATATTCATAAACATACACAAAGTCTGAAGGGATGTTTTTATTGTAATAAGTGATTACAACTAAATAGAATTTCTGTTTCCCTTTTTGTACTTTTCTACCTTTTTTTTAAAAATGGGTACATAATTTTATAAAATAAACACAAAACCATCTTTGTTTTAAAAAAGATAGGTCCTAAACATGTTTTTCTTTAAAAATAAGCAATATATGTAAATAAAAACAAATACTTCTTATTACCTGGTAAAAGACAAACTAAACGAAAAATTTCCTTTATTTACAAGTTAATTTTTAAATTTAAGTCTCTGGATGAGTTAATGTATTTCACAATAACTAAAAATGTTTTCATTCGTGGTTTTATTACTATTGAGATTTTAGCTCCTCTGAGGGCAACGACTGTAAATTATCTGTGAATTCTAACTACACCAGGTATCATGAATATATTAACCACAAGGCACAGTAAATGTTAGCAGTGGTGATTCCGACTGGTACCGAGACAGCCTCACGTCCAACAAATGTTGGAAAAGAAGAGAAGAGTCCAGGCAAAAAAAGCCCTAGATTTCCCAGTCATATCAATCAGGAATTATTTATACATCCAACATTTTTCCTTCTAAGAGGAGGGGAAAAAAAGGCAAAATAGTCTAATCGTAATTATGCTCAATCTTTTCAGAAATCCTTTCAAGTATCAATACTTAATATAAATAAGAAAAGGTACAAAAGTGAAGTCTTTGTGCTTGAGTCACAGGTGAATAATTTTAAGTGGCATGGTGTTTTTAAGTTTTTTTAATTTATTTGAGAGAGTGTGAGCGAGACAGAGTGAAAGAGAGAGAGAGCGCGCATGCACAAGCAGTGGGGAGGGAATGAGGGAGAGGGAGAAGCAGGCTCCTGGCTGAGCAGAGAGCCCAACACGGGGCTCCATCCCAGGACCCTGGGATCATGACCTGAGCCGAAGGCGGGCAGTTCACCGACAGCCACCCAGGCGCCCTGGCTGCTTCTTTTGATAACTGGGGAATTACTAGTTGGTATCTCAAGACATCCTTATTTACTCACTGACAAGCATTTATTTCAACTACTCTAAACCTAAAATAATAAAAAGAATCTAATCATACTGCCACAGGGTGAACCTGGCCTGAACATGGCAGTCTCCCAGGATCCTCTGGGATCCTTTAGGATCACTGGGTGCATTAGGAGACCACAGACCCACAGTAACTGTTCATTGTTTCAACAATTAAGTTACTGTTAAAAAGTTAATGCTGCCTCAATCATAATCAGATGATAAAATACTGGAATTCAAAGTAATGGATGAATCTATACTGAGCAATGAGGCCTTGCTTGCTGGCCCACGATGCTGTTCATGGCCAGAACTGGTGAGAGGATCCCAGACTGAATCTGGACTGGCTCAGACATGGAGGGAGGGAGGCTCCCACCTTAAATCCTGGACGCACCTACTGGCTTCAGTCCGCTGACAAGATAACCTCCACTAGCTCTCCTTTTGTTAGAATCTCTAATTAAATGGTAACACTACTGGGTAAAATATAAACTTTTTAATTTTGATGTATTAATTTTGATATATTTGATGTATTATTTTGATGTATTATACATTTTTCTATGTAAAATAAATTCCATAATAACTACGAATAAACTAAGTGTAAATCCAAAATATTTCTAAGAAACTGAAGAGCTTAGCTTCAAGCATTTCAGCATGCCCTGGTTTAGACCAGCAGATGTAGCTGTGAATTAAAATAGGGAATGTGCACCGCTCTCCTTCAGCCAGTAGATGGCACCCTTCTCTTTTTTTGAACTGGGTTTATAACGATTTAATAGGATTCAAGGTTGCTACCATCAATTATTTGACAAAGGGACTGATTCTGATTTACCTAATTTACCCAGAATAATCATATCAATTATTTATTGAATGCATAGATCTGGACCATTTCTTCCAGCATTTTCTAAGATTTGTTTTCTTTAGTCATGGAAAGATAACAGTTCTCAGGAGTCGGGGCAATCTCACAATTATCCTCCAAATTCTCTGAGAACTGAAATGTAGTACTGATGTCCGCAAGACGCAGAGTGGGTCATATAATAAGAATTTGCTTAGAGAGTCTTAAAACCGAAGCCTTCCACAGTAATGGTCTACTGGGGAGCCCTGTCTTGGCACAGTGCCTGGCTCAGGGTAGGCCCCCAAATGTCTTTTGAATGAACAAATTCATAAACACTACTGCTTTTAAAAGGTGTGCCCTTGAAAAACTATCAGTGGTTCATTTTTCTGTGAGACTTCTCAGATATGGATAGCAATCTGATATTCCTAATGACCTATAGGTAGGGGGACAGTACATTCGTATTCTCACGTTTTAAAGACATGAAGATATAAAAAGATTCCAAGTGTCCTTGTATTCAGCAGTGCCAATCAGAAAATAGTTTTTCTTGCCCAACTATTTTCTTTAGGCCATAATCCTCCTACAGGTGCCATAAAACAAAGAAGTTCACATTCTAGAAACTAGAATAGCACCAGATAGCCCATAAAGCCCAAGTTCTTGAGCATATAACTTAATCTAAATATCTTAACTTTGTTGGCCTATGAAAGTTTGGATGGATTCATTATGACTCTTCTCGTTCAAAGGTTATTTATATTTTAAAATACCTTAAAACTTTATTATTCAGTTTATGACCCACATTACTAAGTTCTGGAAACATCCCCTGACAATTCCATCAAGTCACTTCATCAAGACCATCATTTTTATAGAAACTACAAGCTTAAAAACCTTACTATTAAGTATCTCATGCCCTCAAGTATATTTCACACATAGTCAAAGAAGTTCTGTGAACTTCTAAGCAGCTGTGCTTCATTTCTAGCATAAATTAATAGAAATAAAATCTAGCAGTGTTTTTTAAATGGCAGTATTACTGTTAAAGTAATACATATTTAAGGAACATACAGAAAAAAGTGAAATAAAAAATTCACTCCCACACCCGTAACTCATCCACACGTTTCAACTGCACATATGTCCCCCCAGTTTTTTCCACTTGTTTTCAAGTAACTGCTCTCATATTATATATACAAATGAATCCTCCTTTACCATTATACCCTAAGCATTTTTCTACTGCAGATGAAGGCTAAAAGGAGGCCTTCTCTTTTATGAGGAAAAAATGGCCCAGTCCTAACTGGGATTAATTAGAAAGCCAGGAGATGAGGCCCACATTGAAGATACCCAGGAAGACCAGTGAAGTCATCAAGAATGTGTGGATCACATCACAATTAAAACCAAATTTACTCCTTCCCCCTCACTCTGGCCCCTTCCAACTACTCCTTTATTTTCCTATCTTAGCTAGGGGAGGTAACATCGGAAAAAAAAAACTAGGTTCTAAAGACTATCAGACTTGGATCCAAATCTTGACTCCGTCAGTTATAAGCTGTGTGATCTTGGACAAGTGTCTTAACCTCTCTGAGTCCCAATTTCCTCATTTATAAAATGGGGGATATTACCATGTGCTTCATAGTTACTGTAAAGATTAAATAACCCGCTATGTCTAAAATGTCTGGTACAATGCCTGCAATGGAAGGAGAGACTTTACACTGGTCAAAAGCAAAACTGAGGTTAACACAAAAATCATCCCAAATCTTCAGTCATGGGTTTTCTAACTTTTCCGTGTAAACACAACTTTATTGTTATAAACAATTACTAGCCAGCAAAGTTACTTTAAAAATAAAGGTTAGTCAGACTAAAAGAAAAGCAACATCTATCTGTCTGTCCATTAGTATACTTTGAGTAAAAAGTACAATAATGCCTACGTTCAGTTATGATTAAACCAAATGGGAAAACTTGGGTAATGCCTATAGTAATAATATTACTTAGCACTCCCCCTCCTTTGCAATTTCTCCCGCTTTACGGAATCGCTCCCGTCAGCATACTCACATGCTGTCAATTCTCCCAACTTAAAACAAAAACACCTCTCTTGATCTCAGTCCCCCTTCCAGCTACAACCCCATGTCTTTCTTTACCTGTAAAGCAGAATTTAAGACGTGCCTATACAGATAGTCTCTCGTCTCCATTCTTTTGGACCCACTCCACCCAGGCTTTACCCACCAAGGACCGCCACACCGCTGACTCGGCGAACTGCCGAGTCTCATCTTACATGATTTCACGCCACTATACACTCTCTTCACCTGGCGTCCAAGCCACTGTTCTCCCCGTTCTCCTGGGTTTTCTCCTTTACTAATTTCCCCCGTATTTCCCAACCTCTAAACCTTGGGAGTGCCCAGAGCTCTTTCCTCGGACCTCTTTTCTCTCTATGTTCAATGCCTTGGTGAGTTCATCTGGTCTCCTGGCTTTGAATACTATCCACATACTGAAGACTCTCAAATTTACATCCTGACCTTGTACCTCTCCTCTGAACTCCAAACGTCTATATCTAACTGCTTGACTCTCCTCTTCCCTACCTAACAGATTATTTCAAACTCACAGGCCCCAGATGGAGCTTCTGACATTACCCTGAACATCTGCTCCTCTCACACTGTCCCCATCCATCTTCCAGCTGCTCAGGCCAAAAGCCTTGGAGATCCTTGACTTCATTTTTTCTCTCACCTCTCACATTCGACGTGAAACAAGTCCTTGTTGACTCTACCTTCAAAATATATCCAGAACCTCTTTTCATCAACTCCCTTGCTGCCACCTATTCCAAACAACCGTCAGTTCTCACCAGTCACACATGGCCTGGTCCACAGAACTTCCTACCAGTAGTTTAAAAAAAGCCAATCATTCCCAGTATGGAGCTGTTTAGCCTGGAGTATAAGTTACACACACACACACACACACACACACACACACACACACACACAAACACACACTTCTTGGAAATCAGGCATAGTTAGTCACAGAAAGTAGAATAAACATTCAGACAGCAATTACAGGACTGTAGTTACTTACACCGTGAACTCCTAAAGCTTTCCAGACTGCGAAGCTGATCACACCAACCCCACACCAGGCATAAAGTGAGCCCCAGCCCAGGGCTCGCAAGGCAAGGGAAGAGCCGCTCTCTGGTAAGGCGGCTGTGGCCATACTTCCCTGCAATGGAGAAAGAAAGGAAAAAGCATCAGTTCGGAAAGTGTAATTATTTCGGGAATGTTTGACGCTCACGACTCTCTGAATGTCACCGTAATTTTGGGATGCCAGACGAACCCAAGTTCAAAAAGCAGCTTTGTTACTTAATAACTACAAGACTTAGGTCACGACTCCTCTAACTGACGGATATTTGAGTAGGCAGGGCATTGCCAGGAGCTGCGCTGGGTACTAGAGAGAAAAAGGCAAATAGAATAACTTCTTTCTGACTAAAAATTTCAGTCACTGGTGCGGGGGGCGGGGGGCGGACACAGACACATAAAAGTTAACTGTGATCTAAATGGAATGTGCAACGAGAGAACCATACCCAGGGCACCACGGTCCCAGAGGAGGATGCATTATCTACTGCTGCAAAGAGGAAGCTTTAAGGAGGGGTTCCTCAAAGAGGTGAACTAATAGAAGTCACTGCGAAGACTTGTAAATGTATATGCAAAATGCGGGGCACACAGGAGAAAGCCAACTTGTGGCAGCCAGTCACGAGAAAGTAGGAAATAAACAATGACTCTCCTTTTGGGTTTCAAGGCATCTTATTACGGTAAAAAATTCTATAACCATAATAACTTAATAACTTTCAGCTCATCAGCACACGAACTTGACAGAGAAGACTAGGAATGCGATGCATGCTTCAAAAGCATATAACCATCCCATCACTGAAAGCACTGGTTACTGATTATTTTTTTCCAAAACTTTTCTTTGCTCTTTGTGCCTATTAATTATCCCAGAAAAGTCCTACAACATTCTGTCAAGTTCTCTCTGAGTTCTGTTCACTGGCATCTTCATTAAAATGCCATCAAACTGATCAGCTAATGTAATAAGATAGCAAATTTGTAATGTTTGGTCTTCCTTCTGGAAACAAATTTCTATTTACTTGGGGGAAAAAAGCCTTTCTTCTTTTTTTTTTTTTTTAAGATTTTATTTATTTATTTGACAGATAGAGATCACAGATAGGCAGAGAGGCAGGCAGAGAGAGGAGGAAGCAGGCTCCCCGCCGAGCAGAGAGCCCGATACGGGGCTCGATCCCAGGACCCCGAGATCATGACCTGAGCTGAAGGCAGAGGCTTTAACCCACTGAGCCACCCAGGCGCCCCAAAAGCCTTTCTTCTTAAGAACAACTTCCTTTATATTGCTCAACCCACTGAATAATAAAGGTTTGTATCACGTGTTGTGGTTACGAATGTTATTGGTGGCACATAGAAAAGCTGGGCTTACCTGTATCTTCAGGTCTCACACCATGCCCTGACCCAGAAGATACACAGTATTTGCTGACTTAACACTTGTTTGTAATATACCTGAGACCCAACCAGATTTTCAAGAGATGTTTCTTTATTTTCTGTGATCAAAACAACACTCTCCTCTCCCTTTTCTCATGTTGCTGTAATTTCAGACCAGTTCACTAGACACCACAGATCTCATATAAATTCACTAACTTCTAACTGGCCTGAATTTTCATCCAGAAGCAATACCATTAACCAAATATGATTAAAAGAGGGTCAATTTGAGTGCCTAAATTTTATTTTAGAAACTTAAGTTAAAAATTCCTCATTTCTTTGGGAAGGACAGAAATTATCTATGTATTTTGTATGTGCATGTGTTTTTAAAAGGCACCTTAGCTTACACCTTCGTCTGTTTATTCAGTGAAGGACAAAGAAAAATCAATGTTCATTCGTTCAGCATTTACTACTCCCTTTCCACTAGTGTGAGACTCAGCTAAGATACCGCGGTTAAGACTTTAAAGAAATGATGACCATCTTCCTGAAATAATAGCAGTGTAGGCAGTCCCCAACTAAAGGTGGTCATTTTTAGAGTCCTGAGTTGCAATCTGTATCTGTATTATAACGAATGCTTCGATTCCAGGCTAGTGGACAGAAGTCTATTTAAGTAAAAAATTGCTAAAAATAGTATAATTTCCTCACCAAGATTAAGATGGAAAGAGTGCCCTGGTGAGCAAGTTGTTTAATCCGTCCGTGCCTCAGTTTAATGGGGACAACGTAATAACAGTGTCTCATGGGGCTGTGATGGGGGTTCAAGGAGCAGCAGCAGCTTGAACGTGGTAAGCATTCAAGTGCTAGATATTATCTTCACTACTAATGTCAGGGAAAACTGCCAGGCCGTGACTCTGAAATACACTGCCTAAGTGGGATTCTTAAACCGGCACTTGCTAAGTGTAAATGCATTACCTGCTCCAGAACCTCTGAGCCTCTCAGACACGGTCTGGATCAGTGGTGATGCTCTCATTCAGATGCTCCCCCAGAGGAGAGGCAGAACTTTACACAACATATTTAACCAGCTAGAACAGTAGTTCTCAAACTTTCCGGTCTCAGGATCCATTTCTACTTGGATCCCAAAGACTTCTGCTTGTGTGGATTATACTTACGAATATTTAATATATTAAAAATTAAAACTAAGAAATTCTTAAATTTTAAGTATTAATTTAAAAATTTTAATTTAATTTTAAGTATTCATTTAAAAGTATTCATTTAAGTATTCATTTAAAAATCAACCCAGTAGGGGCGCCTGGGTGGCTCAGTGGGTTAAAGCCTCTGCCTTCGGCTCAGGTCATGATCTCAGGGTCCTGGGATCGAGCCCCGCGTGGGGCTCTCTGCTCAGCAGAGGGGGGTGCGGGGGGCGGGGGGTGCCTGCCTGCCTCTCTGTGTACTTGTGATCTCTCTCTGTCAAATAAATAAATAAAATCTTAAAAAAAAAAAAATCAACCCAGTATAGGTGAATAGAAACCTATTCTTATGAAAACAACTGCCTTACAGAAGAATTTAGTGCCAAGAAGCGATGTTTTACGTTTTGATTAATCTTCTAAATGTTTGGCTTAATAAAGGACAGATGAGGGTTGAAGGCGGCCTTGCACGACCAGTTGAACCGGCTCAAGGTTGAAGAACTAGCCCTCCAATCAATGATTAGTTCTAGGAGAGGGGATGAGATGTTGTCTTCTCAGCCTGCCCCTGAACAGTCACCTGATATGTTGGTTCATGTTGACAATGAAGCATCAATCAACCAAACGGCACTGGAGTTGAGCACAAGGAGCCATGTGCCCAAAGAGGAGGAGGAGGAAGAGGAAGAGGAAGAAGAATCAGATTCCTGAAGCAGGATAGGGAAGAACCAAGCTTAGTTACAGGAACTAAGTTACTACATCTGAGGAACTTTTGTCTCTTCAAGAAAATTTTCTTTCCATGGGCCCTCTGGTCGGCTTTAAAAGGAATAAGAACTTTAGGTTGTGTAGTCGTGAAAATGGTTCCATCAAGAACTCAAGTTTCAGAACACTTTAACAAAAATTAGTGCCATATGGAAAAGCAGACATGCAGTGTCTTAGCATTGAGCAATACGGGTGGTACCGTAACTATATTCTGGTCAGATTTAGTAATTATGCTCAAAACAAAGTTTCCTCTAAAATGCTATTGAGAAAGTCTGGCATTTGCACAAAGGACAGAGTTTAAATACAAGCCAGCCTTTCCAGTCAGCAATACCTCTTTTAAGAAAACCAATTAAAGATTCTGTGGATGCCACTGAACTATTGTGAGCAGAGCAAGGCTGAGGTCTAGGAGAGGACGACAAGTGAGGAGCCAGAGGGCCACTTGAGAACTCAAGCTGCTGCCACCTCTCGGTGGAGCAGGTAGGAACTCTCTACTGTAGAGGGCTTTGTGGGGGCTGCCATCACCTGTAGGTTGAGACATCACAGTGGAAAAATGTGCTTAGAAATAAAGTACAGATAGGGGTGCCTGGGTGGCTCAGTGGGTTAAGCCTCTGCCTTCGGCTCAGGTCACGATCCCAGTGTCCTGGGATTGAGTCCCGCATCGGGCTCCCTGCTCAGCAGGAGCCTGCCTCCTCCACCCTCCTGCATGCCTCTCTGCCTACTTGTGATCTCTGTCAAATAAACAAATAAAATCTTAAAAAAAAAATAAAGGACAGATGAATTTTCATAAATGCTTCTGTATTCAATCTGTTGCAATATGTTTTTTGATGGAAGAATGTGAATAAAATCCAGTCTTCCAGAGATCTGTGGTTGGAAAAGGGACAAGTATTTTAACAGCCTCCCTTCTCTGACACTCCACCAAAACTTCCCGAATAGCTGTCTGTACTCTGGAATCGGAAGTCAGACCGATGAGTTTTTTGCACTTTGTTACATTAAAATCCATTCGTCTCTTTTGTATTTTGAATGGGCCTTTTATTCATGCATTAGGATCATTCAGAAAATAATGATTTATCAAGTTATGCAGATCTTTCCGAGGCTGACACCATTTATTAAATATTTAAAATTTCACATTATTAATATTACCAGCAATCTCATCAGGAAAGCCTTACGTATCGAGCACCTATCATGCTCCCAATGGCAAGTTTCCTAAGATCTAATTTTCACTTGCAAGCTTCAATTTTTTTCATTGCCAACAAATACCGACAGGCGCTTGCTTGAGAGATGATAGGCTCATCTTGTTCATTTTGAAGATAACACCTGCCAAATACCCACTTCTGAATAATTATAGTTTGTCAGTTGCTCTTGCAAATACAATATGATATTACATGAAAAAAAGCAGCGGGTTCAGCATGCAACTTAATCATGCAATTGCTTTTCCTAGAGAAAAACGTCTCTGGTATAGATCAGAAGGGCTTTATGATACTTCCCATTTCTTCATGTGGGATAGTAATCAAGTGTTAAGATTTAATAAAATCAACACTTTTACTGCTATAACAAGGGCATTCTTATGCAACGAGGTTTTTTTGTTTTGTTTTGTTTTGTTTTTGAAACTGCAGGGGCATGGTAAAAGAGGACACAATGACTACTAGTAGTTTGGTGCCACCGCCTTGATTACGCTAAAGGCACCAGCAGTTTTACCCCCTCAAATGCCTTAGGATTATTATGAAAATAGTTTTGACTTTACAGACCCTCAAAAGAGTCTCAAGGATCCTAGGGTTCTGTGGACCACAGCTTGACAACCACCATATTTGATGGGGCATGTGTGATAATCAAATCTTAGAACCACAAAATAGAATACCAAGTTGTAATTGTGGGTATGTAGTTTTTTTCCCTAAGAATCCGTAACTTTCATGAGATTCTCAGAAAGGTCTGTGACCCAAAGTTTAACTGGTAATTTTGGATTAGAAATCTATGCAAATTGTACTGTTAAAACGTCGCTATCAGTTAGGCCTTACTGATTCCGGGTGTAAAGCTTAAATAAATAAGTAAATAGAAATGCCGCTGGGATTCAGTATTGTGTCAAGAATTTAACTGGCATCATTTTTTTACCCAGAGGTGTATAAAATACTGGGCCTCTTACAACTGATAGGGAATTACCCCGATTTAGACTTAGTCATGTTGTGAATAGGAAATGTACTGGATAGCTTTCCAAGTCTTGTTCTGCTAAAATTTAAGAAAAAGAAAGCACATAACTAAATACTTCTCTTTTCTTTTTTTTTTTTTAAATAAAGATTTCATTTATGTATTGAGAGAGAGAGGGCACAGAGGGAGAAGGAGAAGCAGGCTCTCCACTGGGAAGAGAGCCCCACATGGGGTTTGATCCTAGGACTCCAAGATCATGACCCCAGTTGAAGGCAGACACTTAACCAACTGAACCACCCAGGTCTCCCTAAATACTTCTTTCTAAATGAAAATAAAGACCATTGGTTAATTTGTACACTTCTTGAATCTACGTATGTAGGTTTACTTCTTAAAGCAACATGAAAGGCCACCAACACTTTCTTTACTTCTCCCATGCAAAACAGCTGCCAGTTATCTGTAAACAATAACAATGCTATGAATGGATTTCCGGGTCACAAACCTTATGGAACCATTCAGGGCTTTTCTTTTTAGCCAATGATAATGTTGTAACAAATCCCGCTAGCATTCCTGCTGCAGCCACAGTACCAAGGAAAACTCCACCTGCCAAGAGTTTTGGGGGTAGGGCGAGGAGAGAGATTAAAGAGAAAGAGAGAAAGAGAAAAAAAACCACCTTAAGAAGATGTACCCAAGTAAGTTCAGACACTATTTCAATTACATTTTATGTCACTTTGAAATGTGAGAACGAAAGCTAGTCAGCTCTGGCCAAAGGTAAACGATAGGGGTGCGAAACCTGTGTGACCTCACGACCTCTGGTTCCTGAGATCATTCTGCGGTGTCGTTTCCAAGTGCTGGGAATTGGCCCAGGGTCCCTTTCTCTCTTCCCAGGGACGGTTTGTGAGTTTCTCCCGGGAAGGAAAACAAGCTAGTGAAAGGTAGGGCAAGGGACGGGAGAAACTGCAGCGGGGATGGGGAAAATGCAGCACACAGGACACCTCACGGGACCAGCCCCCCAGCCCACCGGAGTCTCCACCCTGCACCCCGCACGACCCCGGACCAGCCGATCCCCATCGGCTAAACTCAGGGGCAACCCAAGGTTAGGTCTCCCAGGGCGGGGTGTGTGTGGGAATGGCGGCTCCAGCGCAGGCCCGGGAAGAGCTCGCCCCGACACCAGCACCTCACCGCACCACACCTTTCACCAGGAAAAGCCGATCGTCTGTGGAACCCGGAGCCTCGAGACCTGAGGACGGCGGCCCATGTTCAGCACCTGCTGTCTCCATGTTTATAAGAGTCCACCACTGGGTCCGACGCCAACTGGGTTCGGGAGGAAGCGAGAGCGAAGCGGAGGAGAAAGGTTCCGCTACCACCTCTCCCTGTGCGTTCAGAATACCGGTCCGGGGACCGACCGCTGATCCCAAACCCTCTCTCCTCCCCAGCCTACCCGCGAGGAAGGCGTGGTGGCTGCACGTGGTGTCCCCACCCCAACCTCGGGGTGGGGGCGGAGGGGACCGTTGGTGTCCTCCCGGGCCGCCTCCAGCTTGGGTCTTTAGCCCGAAAGCTGCACTTGAACAGGACCGCGTCTTATCTGCAGCAGTGCTCGGCTCGGACTCTGGGAGGCAGTGAGCGGTCGCAGATGGCGCGGCGAGCCCAGGGCCGGCGGGTTCGAGACCCTAGAGCTCCGTCTCCCGAATCAGACTTCGTTCCACCCAGGGATTTAACCAGCGCTAATATTTCACGATTCTAAAAAGCAGGTCTACGTCTTCTCTTTGTACTTTTTCGAGAAGTTTCGTAGCAGTGCTCACGTGAGGTGTAAGGGGCAGGTTTTATTGCTGGAAGAGAGCCAGCCCGACAGCTCCGCTGCGATCACCTTTGTCCCCGTGCTTTGATTGATAGACCTACCGAGAGGGGCGGGTGGCTGTCCTGCTGAACTGGCGTGAGACAAGCCAGCGGGGACAGCCGAGGACCACCCTGAGGACTTGCTAACGTAGACGTCCAGGTTGCACCAGAGCCCTTCTTGCGGGGAGACGCTGGTGCTGGCGGCCCCCAGATGGGCTCGGGCTTCGGTCTGGGAGGCTGATCTGCAACGGTTGTGGATTCTATAAATGGTCACTGAGAGGAAGAGGCTGGAAGTCGTAGAAAATCTTTTCAGCCTCTCAAACACTGACGCATGACATCATCTTTTAAAACGAGACAATCTGTCATTTGTTCATTCTGAACCCTCGCACAAAGGCCATGAACTTCTTCAGGATGGGGATGGAGATTTTTATTCAATTTTAGATTCCCTGGCTCTCAACTCCTTACCTGGTCACACATAATAAATTCTGGATGAATGAGTAAATGAATGCATTAGTTAATTACAATTAGTAGCTCAAATCTGGGCTCAGGTCCTAAGTCACTTCTCTGGTGAACTTGGCTGAGTTATTTAGGCTCTTTACCTCAGTTTCCTCATATATAAAAGAAACACATTACCTGACTTAGAAGTTGCTGTGAGAATTAAGGGAAGCAATAAAAATAAAGAAGTTAGCGTAGTTCCTGGCACAGATAGATACTCAGTACATGTTAGCTCTAGCTATCATACCTTTCAATTCCCGCAGCGGTTTTATAGCATTGCCTATGGAAATTTTTAAATTATAGTTGCCCAGGGCCTACTGCTGAAGATGATTGCTCTGAAGGTCCATGCAGGGCAGTTTAAAAGCTCCACTGGGGGCTCTACCGCTCTAAAAAAAATTAAAATAAATAAATTATTTTTAAAAATTAGGGGTGCCTGGGTGGCTCAGTCAGTTAAGGGTCTGACTCTTGATTTCTGCTCAGGTCACGATTTCATGGTCCTGAGATTGTGCCCCGCCCCGTGTAGAGCCTGCTTAGGATTCTCCCTCTCCCTTTGACCCTCCCCCCAACAAAATAAAAAATATTTTTTAAAAAAGCCCATGGGGTTTCAGATGATCAGTCAGGTTGAGAACTACTGCTCTGTTGGTTCCTTGGAAATACAAGGCCAGAGTCTGAAAGGCCTCTTTAAACTGGTAAATGCTGGGCTCACTTGTTGAAGGTCTTAAGGACTCATCTTTTCTCCTTTCCCTCATACGAAAAGGTGATCACAGCAGGTAACATTTATTGAGTGCTTTCAATATGTCTGGCTTTGTGCTAAGTGCTTCAAATATGTTATCTTATTTAATTTTCTTCGTAAACTCAGACCAATTAACTTGCTCAACTCACACAGCTGTTAAAAAGCCGAGCCAGGATATAAAAGCAGCTCTATTTTTAAAAGCAACAAAAATAAAAAGAAATTAGTGGGACTACCACAGGCCAAAAGCTTTTGCATGGTGGAGACACCATCAACAAAATGAAAAGACAACCTACTGCATGGGAGTGAATATTTGCGAGTCGTATACCTGACATGGAGCTAATACCCAATATATAAGGAACTCATACAACTCAAAGGCAAAAAGAAAAAAATCACACAGGCAGAGGATCTGAATAGACATTTTTTCCGAAGAAGACATATAGCGGGCCAACAGAGCCATGAAAAGATGCTCTACATCATTAACCATCAGGGAAATACAAATCAAAACCATAGTAAGAATCACCTGACATCTGTTAGAATGGCCCTTATTTTTTTTTTTTAAAGATTTTATTTATTTGACAGAGAGAGAGATCACAAGAGAGAAAGAGAGGAGGAGGCAAGCTCCCTGCCTGAGCAGAGAGCCCGATGTGGGACTTGATCCCAGAACCCTGAGATCAGGACCTGAGCTGAAGGTAGAGGCTTCACCCACCGAGCCACCCAGGCAGCCCCAGAATGGCCCTTATTAAAAAGACAAGCGATAACAAGTGTCACTGAAGATATGGAGAGAAGAGAACCCTTCCACACTGTTGGTGGGAATGTAGACTGATGTGATCAAAATGGATAACAGTACAGATGCTCCTCAAAAAGTTAAAAATAGACCTACCGTATGATCTAGCAATTCCACTCTGAATATTTATCTGAAGAAAATGAAAACACTATCTTGGAAAGCTGTACCCACGTTCATTGTAGTGTTATATACAATAGCCAAGGTATGGAAACCACCTAAATGTCCATCAATGGATGAATGGATAAAGAAATTGCGGTATACATACTTAATGGAATATTCAGCCATAAAACGAATGAAACCTTGCCATTTGGAACAACATGGATGAGCCTCGAGGGCATTATGTTAAGTAAAATAAGTCACACAAAGAAAGACAAATACCGTGTGACCTCTCCTGTGTGTGCAATCTAAAAGAACAAACAAACAAAATAAAAATGAAAAAAAAAAAAAAAAAGAACAAGCAAACAAAAAATAAGACCATAGATACAGAGAACAGATCGGTGGTTGCCAGAGGCAAGGAAGGGGTAGAGGGTAGGAGAAATGGGTGAAGGGGGTCAAAAGTAAGTAGAAAACAAACAAACAAACAAACAAATAAAAGCAATTCTAAGCTTGAGCTTGGTAACTGGAACTCCCCCGAAGGGCCTCACTCCCAGAGTTTTTGATTCAGTGGGTCTGTGTGGGGCCCGAGAACTTTCATGTCTAACGAGTTCACAAGTGGTGCTGCTGGTTAGAGAGATCCTCTCTCTGCTTTACTCTTACAGTTTATACTTCTTAAAGCCACACTGTCCACTTCAGCACTTGGAATTCTCTTCTCCCAAGACTGCTCAGAGAGGACATGTCCAGGCTCCCTAATTCCCCGTCTTTGCTGGCCCCCTCACCCCTCCCTGCCAAACCACAGACATTTTTTATTTTAAGAATTATATTACTATTTACTGTAAGGAACAGAAGAGAGAGAACTCATGTTTAAATTTAGGGACGTTACAGCACCCTGTCATCTAGAGCCTGTTTTCATTCTGAGGCAATATTGACCATCCCTGCTGGACCCTGTTCTGCTTCTGTTCCAAGGGCTGCAGCTCATGAACATCTACCTTCATTCTAATTCCCCACAGCAGAGGACAGCTTTCCTCCTTCCTACCCCTAAGTTCAGTTTCCCAGGATACAGAGGGTAAAGAGGCAATGAAGGCAAACCCATGGGTAATCTTTGCCGTGGTGAGAAATTTGCACTTCAAAGATCTTTGTCAGACACATGCCTTGAGAGGAGAGACCGGGAGCCCCTTGGACGAGGTGACCTTATGGTGTGGGGAGCTCCCAAACCCATTCCTCACTGGCCCTAGGCTCCTGTCCTTTGCTCTGTTCCAAATTCCGGAAGACGGTGATTCCAAGGCCTGGGAAGCCTGCATGAAACCAGGATGGGGAATCCCTGGCCTTGAGATTAGAACCACAGTCCAGGCATCCCCAATTAGGACACTTAAAGAAAATGCATTTTAAAGACAATGTTAACCAAGATCTCCTATTTCTGTGGTTCGCACAGTTAGGGACTTCGGGTGCCATCAAATGAACTGGGCTGCTCTCAGGACCCTCCAATCCTACCTAGACTAGTTTCTATAAGAAGGAGTGATGCGATCTCCAAACAGGTGATTCGCAGATATTTGGAACACGGTGTCTCTGCAAGATAGGCTCTGCTGGTTCTGAAACAGCAAGGTGGGGCATATGCTGAGCATGGGCCCCTGTGGTCAGAAATTTACAGAAGTTTGGTGCTCCGTGCGATGGGAGCAGGACTGGTGTTTCGATGGAAGTGTGATTCCCTTTTAGGAAAATGTAATAGAAACGTCTTGCAAGCAAAGAGGCTGCTGGGAAAGGAAGCTCATCTGAGACCGACTTTGTTGCTATTTTGGTGTTTGTTTTAGTCAGCTGAAAGTCCATACCATCTATGCCTCTGACCACATTTTTATTTCAAACCTTTGGGCCCCTGTAGATTCTATTTCAAGTTTTGATGGCTAGAAAACCTGTTAGCATTACGGTTTCCCAGAACGTGGGTACCCTCGCTCTCTCTAGTTCCAAACACTGACAGGCTTTTTTCCCCATCTATTTTTAAAACATTTCTTTTGGAGCTTCAATTTCTCCCTGTTTAAAATATGAGGGTGAATTCTTTTTTTTAAAACCTGATAAACGTCATATATTGGTCATTCTTCTCACTGCTGCTTGATATAAGATAGTTGTCAAAAACAGAGCTCAGAGATTTTTAAAAGCTGTTGCCTAATTAAATGTGTACCTAGGAAAACGGATCTGCTGGGCTTTATGTGGAATTATTAACAAAGGTTACCTTGAGGGAAGGGGGGAGGTGAAACTTTCTAATCATATTTCATCTTTCTGTCCTAATAAGCAAAATGCTGACCAAAGCAACAGTTTTACATATTTCTATAATGTTTCCCCAAAAAATTTAGCAAGAAACTTATATTACTTTTATGAAAGGGGGAAAACAAGGAAGAAAAACAATAAAAATACTTTAAAAATGTATCACATCATTTAAAGAGATT